CGGAAACGGCGGGATGGGTTTTCCGCGAACCACGGGAAAACCGTGACCCAGAATTCGCTCTGTTATCATTTACAAGAAAATGCTTATCGATTCTGCATTGTTCTGGTTCGATTATCACCAATTTTACAATCCAATTTGGATCAAAGAATGTACATTATTTATTTATTTTTGGTAAGAAAACTATGATTACTTTACCTCTTCCGTTTCTCTCTCTCTCTCCCAAGGGAATTGAAAACGTTTCAGGTCTACTTTTTCCCATTCAATGCAAATGCCGAACGACATCCTGAAACGGAAATGAATACGATTCAAATTAATTTCTAATGAAATAGCGAAATAATGTACTCGCTCGTTATCTGCTCGAAAGAAATCTGAGATAGGTTCTTCAGATAAGTGGTTTAGTAGAAGCAATTTGAAGTAATTAAATTCCAAATTTTGTGGAGAATTTCTCAAGCTATAGAAAAAAAAAGTGGTATCGACTCGATCGCAACACACAATTCGTATAATTTATAGTCTTTAATGTCTTGAGTGCAACTATAAACTTAATTGTGTGTGTTTGATTCATTTTTAATTGTCAATATTCTGATGTGTACTGAATTTGAGACAGTTGTGAAATTGATTATACTTTCTGTTTTAATAAGTATTCATTTTCATTTCAATGATTCGATCAAAGAATGCTTACGAATTTAACACTTCTGTTTGTTAAATGTAATAAATATTGATCTGAAATTAATTTGAAGAGGATGAGAGGGTTGTTGTGAAGTGGAATTAGAAGTAAAGTCGTCTACTAATTCCATATTTCATCTTCGGCTCGTTTATTATGACTACTTTTGTGTGTGTGTGTACGTGCTCTTGTCTCTCTGGGTCGGTCGGCCGTTCCGTTGTTCTTCCTTTACTCCAGAAACAGTAGATAAGAGATCTCTCCACCGTGGTGGCGAGCAAAGCAAGAAGAAGGAGAGTCGGCGAATGAGAAAAGAATAAAAGGGAATTTATAATTCGTATCTAATGTCCCTTAAACACCCCGATCGATGGCCCCGACAAAAACTACCTGTCCGAAGGGCACACAGAAATAAAAACAGAGAGAGATGGGACGCGACACCCCTTCGCGCCTCACCTCCGCCCCACAACCTCGGCCCGGATTCTCGAGTCGACTGAGGTCAGGGGGCGCCAAAATTCCCACGACGAGTTTCGGTCTTCACCCTTCTTCCATTCCATTCATCCGTCCACGTTTATTCCACCTCATCATCATCATCTTCAACAATACTACAACACCAACAATATTATTACTGTTATCAGCAGCAGAAGAAAAAGAAAGACGGGTTGCTTCCTTACACAGAAGGCTATATAATACGTAAATAAACACAGCGCTAGGAAATAAAGTTTTATGATGGAAAACGGTTTTTCTGTTGTCGGGGGGGGTGGTGTTAAAACGATTAGCGGCACTTCCTGCTCGCAAAAAGGGAAAAAGTAGAAGCAAAGAAACATCCCTCTTTTATTTTTTTACTGCACCGCATATAAAAATGATGTTCGCCTTTGTCCGTTTATTGTTGCCATTATCAAGTTACTTGTGTTCGCGTCGTTGTGCAACTCTGATCCCAATAAAACAAAATACCTCCCTTTCCCAATACCTCCCCCCCCCCC